TACGTCTTATATTATTTTAATAAACTTCGCTCAGCTACCCCGTGCCTAATGTTAACGCACGGGCCCTACGTTATGCATGAGATTTCGTGATGCCATAAAGCAGAGGCATTAAGCGCACATCACGAATTGCCTGGTCTGATGGTGGGGCGAGTGCGGCAGCAGCGTATAAAAGAGGACCGTCTGCGGCATCGAGCACTGTCGCAGCTCAAGCAGTACCATGGCAAGCAAACACACTCTGGTCCTCCTCTGCGTGGTCGTGTTGGCGTTGGTACGGAGTCACTAAAATGCTAGAGTCAGATTTCTTGTTTTCAGGAGAGCGAAATCAATGACACAAAAAATATGGCTCTCCTGAGATCGAGATATCTGACACTTACTCAATATGAGACGTAATTTGTGGTCCTAGCCTAATCAGACTGATGTTCCTCACCGAAGGGTCAACACCTTCGAATATTCAGTCTACAAGCTTGCGGTAATCGATAATCGACAACATTCGCCCATTACGATAACAAATTGTAATTTTACAACTTGCGTCAAGGAAAATTGTCCTGTGAACCTTCTATTTTTCTACTATTTACTATTTTTCACAGTGTTCATGTATTCATTGTACGCGAAACCTTAACGTTGCTGATCTCTCGTTCCTCACTGCAATTCGGTGAGGTCAGGGAAACCTTACTCCACAGTGAGAATTTGGTGCATCTGACTCAAATAGGGTGAGCCTTAAAGTCATCGCTCCGAAATGAGTGAGGCAAAATTGTCTTACTCATTTCGAGCACGACACCTCACTCAAAGGCTTTCGGTGGTATTCAACTGTTTTCTTTCCTCTGCCATTCTTCTAAGCGCGTCGAATTCTTAATACTTCTTGCGTTATCTCGAGCTGCTAACATAACTGAGAGTGTTTTTTCACAGGCGTCCTTTGCCGCCGCTGATCCTAGGCCGTTCAATCTTGTCAAGACTGCAAAGAACCTCTTCAACAAGGCCAAGGACTTCGTTACTCCGACTATTAACTGCCTCAAGAGCGCTGGAGCTCCCGATGCTGCCCTAGGCTACCTCAAGGAGTGCGGCCAAACAAAATACTTTGGCAAGACAGCCATGTTTAGCTGCGCATCGACCACCTACGCACCCGCTGATGTCAAGCAAATGCTTAAGAGCAGTGCCAAGTGCTTCACGAAGTAAATAGTATGTCCTCTAAGCTGAAAATGCTTTCTGGTAGTTGGAGTAAATGCCACAAATAAGATATGAACCAGTTCTTGTCATTTGTCTCACGCGGGTGTCTAATATGCACACTGGTAAAATAAGTATGCATCTTTGCACACTTAAAGTGCACATCCTACAATACTCAACTCAGAACCCGAATGGTGCACACACATGGCCGAGCATTTCATGACCATGATCATGACTAACGATACCCAAAATCGTTCAAAATTCTACAGAGGCCGTCAAAGAAGAAATTTTTCTAACAGGTCGGAATTTCTTGAAATGGCTCTAGCTCGACTCCTGGTTGAGCTGGACCGTATCGCGAGTCACCATTTGATACACAATAGGGACAATTGTTATTGTTGGACGTAAGTGTGTGAGTAAGAAGAATTAAAAAATATGAAATACAGTCACGTCCAACTATAGACATATACAATAATTTTTAAAAACCGAAATGAACTAACTTAAATTGCTTTTGAGAGCGATTTTTTGATTTGATTCACATCTTGATTTTAAACGCTAAATAGCTGTTTTGTGCCCCTATTTTCCAGTTGCAGCCCTGTATCCACCTTGAAGTGTGATACACACTAGATAACTTGACTAGTGGGTAAACGTGCGCTATGTTCCCCCAAAAGTGCGTATTTGGAAACAGTACCGTGTAAATAGTGGCACACATGCACTGTTAACCAAAATTCAATCATGCCTAACCTTCCACCCCCTAAAAGCGAGAACGCTGTGGGTGCAATGGTGTCCGTAGAATCGTGCTCGCAAGATTTTTACTCTTTTTGGTATTGAAAGTTGAAAGACCCAGAAAAACCAAGAAACTTTAGTGACTCTCCCAAAATAAAATTCGTTTAGAACCTAATTAGTAAAGGGAAGTTAATACCGCAAACCGATTTAGGTTATACACCATAGTTTTCTGGACAGAAAATAATCAAAAAGTCCCCAAAAACTGCAGTTTAGAGGATAAACACCCCTTAAATACACGAGCTCAACTCCCCCATAGTGTTCGGTCACTGATAATTCCTTTCAAATGATTTCTTCTTATTCTTAAGGTTTTGGCAGCTTTGTAAGCCTACGGAGGAATTTTTTCGCAAGTGCGAAGGATGTTCTTCGCATTACGAAGGAAATTGTTCGCAATCTGTTTGCAATTACAGAGCAGAGTTTATTCTTTGTAAACGGTCCTTGTTTAATTCTAGATTCACGCATGATAACATTGCAGACGCATTTTGTTCTATTTTTTGATGAAGCACTTAGCACTACTCTTAAGCATTGTCTTGACATCAGAAGGTGCGTAGGTGGTGGTCGCGCAGCTGAACATGGCCAACTTGCCGAAGTATTTTGTTTGGCCGCACTCCTTGAGGTAGCCTAGAGCGGCATCGGTAGCTCCGGCTTTTTTGAGGCAGTTGATGGTCGGAGTCATGAAGTCCTTGGCTTTGTGGTAGAGCTTCTTCACTGTCTTGCCCAGATTGAACGGCTGAGGGGCAGCGTTGGCAAAGGACGCCTGCGAAAAACAACTTATACATCAGTTCATGTCTGGCTTAAAAAGAGTCACCGTAATTTCTCTAATTTTTTGAGAGAGGGCACTTGAGGAAACTAATTTACGTTGTCCTTCAAATTTTCCTCCAAAATCGGACACGTCTTCTATCGTGAGATACCAAATCAACCAGAAGTTTTTGCAGTTGGATTAATTACTCTCCATACCAAAGCCAGCACGACCACGCAGAGAAGAGCCAGTGTGTGTTTGTTTGCCATGGTGCTGATTGTGCTTCGACAGACCAAGGTGGCGTCCCGGACCCGTTTTATATAGGCACTGCAGTCAGGTCTTACGGCCTCATGCACTAAACTCGTGAAGTGCACATTAATAGTTTCGTGTGGCACGTTTTCATACTTATTCCCGAGTGGAACAAATGCGAGGAAATGAACGATTATTTTGCTGTTATTCGCACGACATATTAACACTTAAATAACGACATATCTACAATAAATAACGACAAGTATACAACAAACGCCCTTGTCAGAAAATGACGAGTAATTTTGTCGTTTCCCCGTTGTTTAACGGGCCACATGCCACTTGACCATCGAAAATACGACAAATTTATTTCTATCGTGTGTGTGTGTGTGGCTTGACAAAAACGTTAACAATTCTTGTTAACGGCAAAAAGAATCCACTAGTAAGGAAATCTCAAATTAGTTCTAAGGTGGTATAGACAAAGCACTCTTTAATTTCTTGTTTGGTCGTTTCGCGTGGTGTCCGGTCGTGTCTTGGTGCATTATCGGCCCCTAAGTTTTAAAATTGTACACTACTCAGAGGTAAGCGGGATCGAACCAACTGCCACGTCTGCTGACTTTCGAGCACTTTTTATTATCTCTGCACCTATTAAAAATTCTAATGATCATCCCTCGGTGCCGTATAATGTACTACTTAATTAAGCGTCTGTTGCACTTGGGTCCAAATTTATTTGGTACTTGAATCAAACGTTTTTGTCTGAATACAAGAGAAATCGCTCTCAAATCAAGCAAAATGCAAAATGCTCTTCATTTAATTAAGAGAATTTTGCTCTCAAGCCAAGAATTCGACTTTATGAGTGCAACCTGTAAATTTGTCACGTGCTGTGTTAAGTGTACATCTGTTTGTGCGGACCGCGTACCTAGGTGGTTACCGTCTCATATCCCATCCTCCTGCTATCTCTCTCTCTACCCCCCCCCCCCCCTTTCCGTATCCTGCGCCACCTGTTTTTGTCTCTCTCGTTCGCTGCCCACATTGTTGTCGGCGGCTGTGCCACCCAGCCCAACGGGCCCAACGCTTCCCCTCCGTCCACCAAATCACAGCAATTTCCGCTCACCGTCTCTCTCTCTCTAACTCTCTCTCTCTCCCCTTCAAGCCGAACCTTCCTACCTCTACTACCACGGCTCCCCCCGTACGGCTCCCCCCGTACGCCTTTGTACCTTGACTGTTCCCGCCTAGTCCACGCTCGGTCCCATCCCACTGCCCCAGCCACGTCTCCCTGTGCTCTCGACCATTACGACATTTTGTCAGGTTTGGGTCATAGGCAATGGTTCATATTTTTGAGACACGGCACTACAGTGACGCTCGCGCTTTACCGTACTCGTGCTTTCTTTTTCTGCTTTACCGTTTCGTTCACCCCTGGCGCTGACTACGCGGCGGTGGGCGTGCCCCCTGCTAGGAGCACTTTGCTGCAAATGCGCGTGGTTCCCTATACCCGAGTCCCTACCCAAACCCCCTTTTCGGCTGCTGTCCGCTTGCTCAATGTGTTCTCTTCTTGCATGTCTGGCACCTACGAACTGAATATACGTTATTCCACTCCATAGTGTACATTTTACTAGGAGGAACTGAGTGACGCTCAGTTCACAGCATATACGGTAAATAAAAGCACATTTCACGCAGTTGTGTACGACTCTGATTTTCGCTCATCTGTGTCGGGGTCGAGTGGGAGGTTGGTAGAACGGCCGGCTGTAAACCAATGCTGCTGACCTGCAATGGGCCCGGGCGTATGGACATCCATTAGGCTGGGTATGACCCCCCCCCCTCCCCCTCCTCTTTTCATCCCTGCCATATCCCCCTCGCGACTGGCAAAAAAAAGAGGAAAAGGTTTTTCTGCCTCGCTTATTGCTGATTATTTGCACCGTCACCGTGGTGCACCTGGCGCACACGCCCCCACAACACACCTGTGGTGGTGGGGTGCGTTACTGTGCTTACGACTCGAAGTGCACTGCACCTAGTCGGTTGCTGTTTACCGCACTGCTGGATGCCCTCCATCATCTTGGCTGTCTCGCCTCCGAATCAGCAGAGCCGAGTTAAAAAAAAAAAAAATCGAAAAAAATCACGCCTTTTTCGACGACTATGTGATTTGGAAATCACGCTGACTTTGCGTGTGCGGGTACCCGAAGGGTGCCCCGTGACGGGTGAAATGGACCTTTTACGTTAGCATGGTAACGGCCGACCGACACCGCGGCTCCGAAAGAAAAGCACGGCCGTTGTTCTGCCGGCCGGTATCAAGATGGCTGCTATTCTCGTGGCGATTTCCTTTCTCGCAGCGCCACGGGTCGTGTGTTTACCTCCCCCTCTCTTCTGCTGCAGGGAAAAAGTAAGAGTTCACGTGGAAACTTTGCAGCGGCCTGAGGGAGGGGGAGGGCGGCAGTTAACGTGATATATCTGTGTACGAGGCCGCCCCCGCTCCACCTCCCCGGGCAACACGGCCGATGCAATAGTAGTTTCCACAGCGCAGAGAAGCCGAGAGCCTTTTATATTGACCCGCTATTGATGATTATTATCATATTTTCCCTTTGTTGCAATGTTAGCTTGGCGGGGGCAGCGGAAATCGGCTGCGGCGTCGGCCTGCGTGTGAGTGAGTGCGCGTGACCCTTCCTCTCTCTAGTGAGTGAGGAAATATGCGCAGCGGAAATGCGGCGCCTAACTCCTGCCGGGGCCTCGGTGGCGGCCCGTCCGGTCCGGGACCCATGTCTCAGCCCGGCCCTGGTGGTTGGGGGGGGGGCTGGGGGCATCTCTCTTTCTATCTCTCTCACCCTACCTCTCTCTCTATCCTATATCCCGTGAAGCGCGCCCGGAATGTGTGACGATGCCGTAGTAAGTGAACGTATCCTCTGCTCGGCGCTATGCTACACTGTGCGACACGTTGGCGCTGTCCTGCACGGAAACTAAAATGAATTAGCTAAAATGGCTTATGCATTCGCCAAGATATTGGCTTTTACACCTAACTTCTTTGTTTCTGACGACCTGTTCAGGCTCAAGTTTTGAGCTCTCTTAGCAAATAGCCAGGCGAGCTAATATTCGGATTCACAGGCCCACTAAATAATGCATTAACTATTTTAGCAAATTTTTTCTTCCGTGACGCTCTTTGCCCGCCCCGATCTGCTGCATCACTGAGTGTAACAAAAATTATCTCGAAAACGACCCAAAAAAGTTATGACGGCGTTGCGACCTGGTCTCGAAGCCCACGGTAAAGCCGATGGCGGCGTCCCGTCCTGGGCCGGCTTTAATAAAAGCGTCAAGACACTTTAGCCGCGCGCGTGCTGCCTCTGAACCAACTCTTTTATCCCCGATCTAAACGGGGCCAATATCCACCCCTCGCACACCTACCCACCCCTCTCCATCTGCTCGCAAATGGGAGGCGGCGTGGAGAAGGGGGGTGTGGGTACTCTCTTGCGCGCCTTTCAATCTGCACAGTCAGCGAGAGAGAGGGCGAGAAAGGGCCGAGCGAGAGAGAGAGAGAGGGAGAGGGAGAGGAAAAAAGCGCAGTTCCAGTAGCTGCTGGCCCTGAAGTGCAGAGCTTTCCCCGGGTAGTTCCGTAGCCGTGGAGATTGTAATGTTGATGTGGCCGTGTAGCTAATGCATTTAAATCGCGCTATCCATCCTGCAGACACCGGACAGGAGATCCGCCGGCAGCGCGGTGTCGCCGGAGCGGGAGCGTCTAGTGTAGCGGTGCGTGGCTGCTGAAGGGAGGAGATGGAGGGGGGGTGGTGTCAATAACGAGTGCGCTTTAGAATTATAATTCTCGGAGTTACTTTGAAAAATTTAACTCTCAGACATGGGAGAGAGTCTCTCTTCTCTTTCATCTCCCTGTACAATTATGTACTGCCTCTCTCTCCCATACAGCTGGCGCACAGCTGCGAGGGGGACAAGAGTACTACAACTACCCGCTTGAAAATTAAATGTGCCATGCCATTTCGTCCTTTTTTTTGTCTTTTTATATCCTTTTGGTTTTGTGGTGCGTGGTGCGGTGACTATACTTTCTACTCGCGCACGCCGCACGCCGGTGTCGCGCGGGCCACCCATCCCCCCACGCGCTCGTGTCCTCCGCCCTTGTGCTTGTTTTTCATCGCCCCCCTTCTCCTCCCGCCTCTCGCGAGTTGCGAAACAACGTTAATTAGAGGTGGGCGGGCGCCGTACGGCGGCGCCATGCGGCGCCATGCGGCATGCAGTGGCGCCTCCGCCGGCACGTGCCGTAATCACACTCATCAGATTAAGTTTCACGGCGGCGACTTCATATCATGCGCTGCACAGCGCCGCCGCCGCTCGGGAGAGGGAGGAAAAGGGGTGGGGAGGGGTGGTCTTGATTTGGGCACAAAGGGCTGAGCGAAGGAGGAGGAGGGTTGAGTACGGGGAGTTGTGTGTAGTTGAGAGAGGACTGGAGTGGGTCGTTGCGCGTGGCGTGGTGTGGGTGTGCCGCAAGCCTCTCCCGATGCTGCTGCTGTGTGCGGCGGGGCACTACTATGGCATAGTTCGCTCTTCTTCCGGCCCCGCCACGCCCCGCCACGCTCCGCCACCGCGGCGTACGATCCGATGGTGTGAAATGGTCCCCACGCACTGACCCGTGCTCGATCTAACGAGGTGGAGGGAGAGAGAGGAGACTGAAAGTGAGGGGGGTGGGGGAAGAGGGCGCGTTGCGGCCGCAGTAGGCATGGGGGCAGAGGGGAGAGCGGCGTTGGCAATGATTGGAAAGGGGGGGGGGGCTTACAACAATGAGGGTGGAGCCAGTACTTAGCAGCCCGCTATGCCCGCTATCCTAATGCCGGGCATGGGAATCCTGCGACTTGAGATCCCCGCCCCCGCCCTTAAACCTTTAATCGCCTCGGGCCAATTGTTGTTTTTAGTGACTCGTTGTTGTATTTAGCAACAATGCATTTACTTTTTGGACTGTTTTGGGGAAAGTGCGGTGACGCTTAGCGTGGTCTTCGCCCTCCTCCGACCCTGCCGGCCGGAACCGTCGCCGCGCCGGGAGCGCGCAATGCATTGATCGATATTTTCCCCTCGGTGATCCCCCTTTCGGTCAGGCCAGGGCCAGAGATTCCTCCC